TCACACCTAGTCTTCAATTAGAAGTGGTTAATCGGCATATAATATAGCAAATATCAAGAGAAGAATCTAAAAGAATTTGATAAATGCCTTCTATCGAATGAATATGCTCATGAATATGTAGGTCTGGTGATGTAGCTCAGTAGTATAGCTTGCCTAGCAGGTTCAAGCCCTCAGCTCACCAAATACACACAATAAATAAATAAATCAGTTAATTAATTAAATGTAATTGCAGTATGTATCTGTGAAAGAATGCTTCAAAGACAAAATTCATAAAATTTAATTATAAACCTTCATTAACAAATTACTACCTTCTGATGATATCTTTGAAYCACAATAAGTGAAATGTTATCCTCCCCCAAAGGCATTCTAGTCTTTTCATTTTATATTATAATAAACTAAACTTTGTTCAATTAATACTATCATTTTTGTATATGGTCAAATATTTGTGGATATTTGTTTTCTCTCACCATATATTTTCTCTTTTTGTATAATACCCTTGATTTTTGCTTCTTGGCCTACAAAGCCTAAAAACTTACCATCTGGCCCTCTGTGGAAAAAGTGTGACAGCAGTTGCCTGGTAGGTTACTATTATTCCTCGTGCAACACCACCTGAGAACCTCCTAACAATGCAAATTCTTAGTCTATCCCACACATATTGAATCCAAGTTTTTGAGGATAGACCCCATATTTTTTTAATAAGCTTTCCAGGTGATTTTTATATAAGCTAAAACTTGAAAAAGAGTATTAGGTTTTTGAGGATTTATCCCCTTAGAAAAATATTTGCTTCTTTGAATCAGTAAAGTGGGGAGAGTCACTCAATTCCTAAAACTGTTAAAAAGATTAAAATTAAATTTGGAGCATGATAACTGATGTTAATAATTCTTAATAAGTGGTAATTACTAACTCAATGGTGTACTGGCACCTTCTGCACTAGCCCATGAGATAATGATTATTAAATTTTTAGGAATTTTATGAGATATTAAAAGTTATTATTTAAAATTATATACTTTAAATGAGTTACCTTAAAACAGGTTATATTCAAAACAATCATTACTTAATTACTTTACATTTTGCTATTATCTACTCTCATTAGATTATGTCTATACAGAAGACATACTACATAATGATGTGCTGCATCTGATCTCTTCCCAATTCTATACTTGTTGACACCATTTTGGTAACTTGAAATCTGCAATGGTGGGAATATTTACAACACAGGAAATTCACAGCCACCACAAATTTGGTGTTTCTGGAGAAGGGCTTTTGGTTAAACATTTACCAGCACACCTCTGGTTATCATTATTTAAAATTATACAATTAATACATGCAGAGATGTCTAATAATTTGCTAAGTAAAAAGAATAGCCCAGATAGACATATACATACATTCCATTCCCTATAATCACTCTGTGAAAAACTGAAAAAAATCATCAGAAGGACTTTGGAATTTACAAGTACAGCTAATCATAGCTAGCAGCTCAATTTAACCACCTCCTTTTATCACTACAGTCCTTGGTTTTAACTCCTGGAATGCTTGTAGTAACAACTGTATAAATAGATGCACTGGAAGAAATTGTATTACTCTGCAGTTTGAATCCAGCATCTGTATCTTAACCAGCAGAGTAAATGACTTTTTGGGCATTTATTTAGACAAAGCTAACAAATTATCTTAAACCCTTACACTGCAGCATCAAGTAGATTAGCATTTGAATAATAAAGAGAAAAAAAACAAGTTATATTGAGATGAATATAAGACATCAATGACACTAAGTATATTTCAAACTTTAGTTTCAAATAGTCATAGAATTTTAGAATCAAAATAATACTTTGTAATTGCAATGGTTTGAATGTTTTTTGCTCCCTCCAAAACTCAAACTGGAAAATAATTCCCAATGACAGATATTATTAAAAAGAGAAAAAAATGTACTATGCTAAGTTATAAAGACCTAAGTAGAATGTCAAAGAAATAAGTGTACAGCACTATAGTGAAATTACAAAGTATTCTCAGGCAAGAAAAAAGTATATACTGCTCCCTATAAAGTGCAACATTTTACTGCATAAAAATGATTTAAGTCCAAACTCTTCTTCAGTTTGGCCTTTAAGATCTCATATTATCTGGTTGTTATATATTAATATTTTTCCATCTCTGTTAACCATTATTTCCTTATATTTTGTTCTAGCCAAACATAGCTATTTAATAATATCCCAGAAATTCCTCAAATGTTTCCTCATGTTCATGTTATTTCTCTCCCTTCTCCATCCCAATTAACAGACTCGTATCTACTTTTCAGAAACATAACTGATCTTTGGTTAAAATAATATTTCCCTAAGACCTCTTCTCTATCCCTCAAATCTGTAATTTATGCAAAGGCCTTTTATATCACTCATACCTTTATTCGTTATTATAATTATTTGTGTATTTGTCATATTGTTCCTGTTAGGATTATAAGAAACCTGAAACATGAATGTCCTTTTCATTTTTGTCCTCTTACAAAACACTGCATACAATTTATATTTAATAAATAATATATTAAACTTATAATAAAATGTATACAAAAATAGCTGTGGTCCACAAGTTTATACAGAAATTTTCCTTTACTTTCCTGTGGAGAAAATCACTCCCATAAGAATCTTTTTTAAAAAACTTCACTTTCTTCGAGAAGATAACTAAAAAGCAATTTTCCCCCAATCATTAACCAGTTATCTTATGGATTATTGTAACAGCTTCCTTGGCTCAGATATAAAATTGCTTTCCAAGATTCCAATTTTATTATATTGTATGTGCCACTGATCATACACCAAACCACATTACCACTGAAAATGGTAGTTTAGAAGGAGATGGTTGCCTGAGGTTAATCCAAAGCCTGTAATACAACCCAACCTTTTTATTTGGAGAGGCAAYACTACAATGATATTTCTAAATACCTGTTTCTTCTATACCTTCATAATATCTACCAACCCAAATGTTTGTTCCCAGCCTATACTTTCAGGTTTAAAAGTTAGAAATAATAGGTGGTTTTAAGAACTAATTTGCCAAAGATTTACTGAATACCTACTAAGTAAAAAGCACTGTAGGAGACACAAAAATTAAAAAGATATTATTTTCATATTCTGGAACTCAAGACTAAATGAATAACACACACACCCATAACTCCATTTCCAGGTAGCTTATGTAAGTACTAAAAATTTTCTAACAAGGTACAGATACTATGAGGAATGAGATTAATCTATCCAATGCTTCAAAATAAGAGATGGATTTCTATTTGGCCCTTTATTATTTTAAAATAAAGAACAGTATTCAACAATTTCAAGATTACTTTTAAGTAGATAATTTCATTTGTTTCATTTATTTTTATCCACCAATTCTGCAACAAAATCAGATATTTTTCCCACCAAAAAGTAATGTTTCAACATTTATCTTTTAATTAAATGGATTTTTAAAGCTCACTTTAGACTATGGAAAAATTTTACAGGCAAAACTTGTGTCCTGTATGTTTAAAAGAAAAACATAGTATGTTCAATAATCTGATTTAATATTCATTAAAAATTCTGCTCCTGGAAAAAAGACAGGCATGTATAAATGGGCCATCACATTTTTACTGAAATCTGTTCAGCATATTAATAATACATTAAAAGGAAAACTGAAAATAAAATTCAGGGTTTTGGAGCATTTTTCATTCATACCCCCTCCTGCAACACTGTCTCCTTCCCACTCTATGGCCAAAGGTCTGAATCAGAGCTTGGACCACTTGCTTTTCCAGGAAGCTCCAGGACACCATTTCTAGATTTTTGGAGACTTCCTTGAAGGTTCAGAGTTGTCATGACCTAACTCTGGATGTGTTGAGCACCGTATTGACAGATGAAAGGGCCACACTCATCTCAAACCTAAAATATAAGGAAGGAGTGGGAAAAGTCCAAGTGGATTGATGCCAATGGAGCAAATTTTAAAAAGAGGAAATTATGATAGACAGGAGTGGAAGCAAGCTGGAGAACATGTAGAAGCGAGGTATTCCAAGTTCCTACTATTAAAAGAAACTTTCAACTCTTAATTACATTGCAGAATGCATCAGACGTTTCTGTAATTACCGAACAGTTAAGCAATACATGATGAATATTTTTTGTGTTAAATTATGTATAGTTTTATAAAACATATTTGCTTTGAAATATCTCGTCCAAACCAATCTCTTTGAGATTAACTATAAATATAAAGGAACTAAAATCAGATTATGCAGATTTGGGCAGGGGAAGCTGGGAACGAATAACTAGCATGTAAATTCAGTAACAATATGTTACAGGGCGCAGTTTCCTGCTACAGTAGACAGACTAAGAAACCAAGAAAACGGCTCCAGGAGAGAAAGATTGAACACTGTAGTCATCTAACACTAATTCAACAGCAGCGCCTCTACCCTGCCTCACCTTCCTCATGGCCTCTGACAAGTCATCATTTCAAACTATGAAGCTGTCCGCTCTCCCCCAAGGAAAATATTTTCCGAGCAGGTTGTAAATTCATCCCTAAACTACTTGCTTCCACTTCCCCGCCCCGGGATGAGCAGCTCCCAAGATGGGGAGAGGTCGCACTGACAGGGAAGGAAGTTACACCAAGTGGTCTTTTCTCGCGGTCGGATAGGAGCCTCGAGCCGGGCCGACGCGGGAGCAAGGAAGCGGGCGGCCTCCGGAGCAACCGGGCTGGGGCAGAGGATGTGAGCCCGTTAAGCAGCTCCTTCGTGCCGGCACCGGCAGGAAGAATGGAGGAGGGGAGGCAAGGAGCGAGTGCCGGGAGCCGGTCCGGCCCCGCAGCCGACCCCACCCCGGCTCGGGACCCTCCCTGTCCAGCAGCCGGCGTGCGTTCCGCGTGCGCCGACTCTCCCCAGGGGAAGAGCCACCGCCTCGCAACCGAGGAATTGAGAAATTCGGCAACTTTGCGCGAGAAATGCTTCCCACCCTGCAGCATACTGAGAAAGAGAAAAATGTCAGGCGATGACGGGGGAAAGGATGACTTACCCATGTTCCTACCAGAGGGTGAGGACCGACAGGGCGAGGCGAAGGTCTCTGGTGCGGGTGGCACGGCAGTGTCCTCCCTCTATCTCCGAGTCTCCGGCAGCCAGGGAGGGACCCGCGGGGGGCAGCCGCCAGGGAGGAGCAGCTGCTGCTGCTGCAGGCGGCGCGGCCGCGGCGGGGACGAGCGGCGGGGGGCGGGGCGGGGCGGGGCGGGGCGGCAGGGCGCAGCCTGCGGCGGGCGCGGCTCCGAGGGGCGGGCGGCGGAGGCGCCGAGCCGTCCTGAGGAGCGCCGGCCCAGACGCGCGGCCCGGAGAGCCCCGCCCTCCCCACTGAGCATGCTCAGTGTCGCTTTCTTCTCCTTCGCGCCGCTGGTGAGCCCGAGTGCGCGGGTGGGCGTGTTTGCGCACCGGCTATAGCCGCAGCGAAGCTTGATGGCGGCCGTCTGAGGGGCTGAGGCTGGTAGGCCCGCAGAAGGCTGGGCACGGGGATACTGAGCTCGAACTGCTACTAGGTGATTTACCCCACGCTGGCGTTCTCACCTGTTCCTCACACTCGGAATTCGGGCCGCAATGGTTATAGGACGACCGGCTGCTCTAGCCAGAGTTCCCCTGAGAAGAGGCTGAGCCAGCCGCCTCAGACTCGGGAGGGGCAGTGGAAAGCAAAGCGGACGCTGAAATGGAGCTGGAATGCACGTGTAGGCGGATGAGGCCGGCTCTTATAGGGATACCCCAGGACGCCCGTGGGCACGCAGCGGGGGCGGGCTCTGGGCAGGTACTTAATATCAGCTGGCATGGCACTGGGACAGTTGAGGTTGCCCTAGCTGTGGCTGGCCAAAAAACGGGTTCTGGCAGCTGAGTACGCTGACCAGAGAGCGTGTCGCTCTCCCTCTCTGAACATCGCGGCCTCCACTCCCCGAAGGGCTCTTGTAGGGCCCTCAAACAAGGGTGCCGTCGGGCTCCACCCCTCCGGGAAGTGCCAGCTCCGCCCCGCTCGTTTTGAGCGGGAGGAAGAACATTTTCAGGCCTGAAAATAAACTAAGCTAACCCACGATGCTCAGTTGTCCTGGACGCCGCCGCGGGTTCCTGACATCCCCTGGGTCTCGGGGAGGCCTTGAGCAGGGACGCTCCCCTTGAAGGGCGCCCTCGAGACTAGGCATGCGCACAGCTTTTGGGTCTGCTGCCCTGGAGGGTGGAGGCCAAAAGAAACCTTACTCTGACCCCCCCCCCCCCAGGGTGACTGGGAAGACGAATCTGGACACTATCCGGAGGCTGTAGCGACCGCAGTCTTGCAAGGCAAAGAGACAGTCAGCTCTACAACCTGTGGGAGAACAACTGAGTCTAGATTTCTTTCTCTTTTCAACTTTTACCCCTTCAATCAGATGTTGAAAAGGGTTTTTCGTCGTTATCGGTTCACCCTTGTATGTTATTGCTTGTATGACTTATATTACAAGCTTACAAATCAGAAGGGGCCCTTCATCTGCTAAGTAGGGAGATTTTATGTGATTTTTCTAAAACAAAAAATTGCAACATGATAATTATAGAGAAATATTGGTAAAACTGCGAAATACAATTTGCAGAAGTCAAAGAATTGGATTTTTCTGATGTGTAAGTCAGGCACTTCACTMTTATGATTCGAGAATGCTCCTCCTGTTTGCCTCAAAATCATCTTACACGCTTAATTAGTTTCCTGGGACTGCTGTRACAACCACAGTAGTGGTTTAAAACAACGGAAATTATTGTCTGGAGTTCTGGATGCAAGAAGTCAAAGTGTGAGTAGGGGGTGCTCCCTCTGAAGGCACTTGGGAAGGTTCTCTTCCAGGGCTCTTCTAGCTTGTGGTAGTTCTTTGACTTCTGGCAGCATAACCACAAGTTTCGCAGGATGTTCTCCCTGTTTGTGTTCAAATTTCTCTTTCTTATAAGAGCACTACTTATTGAAGGGGGGGCACCCTACTCTAGTATGACCTCTTATTCTTAATTGTATCTGCAGTGACCCTATTTGCATATAAGGCCACCTTCTGAGATAGTGCCAGTGCTGAGATGGGAAGAGTGCAGGACACAATTCAATCTATAGGGCACCAAGGCAAGTACCTTACCATGCTTGCATGCTTGCGCACATACCTGCCAAGTTCCACAATCATTATTTTATGTGTCCAAAARACAACTCTGGGCCTTTGTATTGTTTCTTTTTTCTTTCTCTCCTTTCACTAATCTCTTTCTAATTTTCATGTTCATTTGCTTTATTTTTTTTCTGCTGCATCCTTTTCTAATTATATTTTATACTAATTTCATAAAGCATCTTCTATAATTTGGACTTATGAGTTGAAATTAGAAAAGTTGAAATTAGAAAAAGTGGCTTTGTGACCTCCTACCAACATTAGTTCAAGCACCTTTTTTGTTTTGGCTTGAATCCACAGCCATCCTTTCAACCTTCTTACGATTAAAAACAGTTGGCGCGGTGGGGCACAGAGTGTGTGATCCATGAGTGTGATCCCAGCTATTGGAAAGGTTGAGACAGGAGGAATGCAAGTTTGAGGCCAATTAAGACAACTTAGTGAGACCCTGTCTCAAAAAAATATAAAGTGGTAGACAAGTAGCTCAGTAGTAGAGGGCCCCTGGGTTCAATTCCCAGTCCTGCAAGCACACAAAAACCAGGGGGCTATTCAGACATAATGCTTGTACAGAACCCCAGGGACTGGAGCATAATCATAGAGAGACCCAATAGTGATTGCTATGTGCAGAAGTGGATCACTGCTTCCACATACAACACTACCTGCCTCTCCTGTCATATTCATTACCTCTATGAGACCTTCCCTGTCTGTCTTACCTAAAATGTCAATACTTTCCCACTTTATATCCCTATCTATACTTCCTTCATTAACACCAGTAGGATGATTATATATTATATCTCTATGTGTGATATAGCTCCTTTTGTCTATCCCATTTAAATGTAAGTTCCCTAAGGGCAGGAGTTTCTGTTTTTGCCATATTTGCCATTATATGCTGAGACCAGTACTACTACAAAGCAATGTTTAATAAAAATTTGCTGTATGAATAAATCTCTTTTTTTCCTTTTTAAATGATATTTTATCCAGAAAGAGCAAGAATAGTGTTGATTCTCTTTATAATATTTCGCCAAGTAAAATTAGTTATTCAATAAATAATTATAATGTTGATAACAACTACTGTCTCYGCTGTTTCTGTCTTAAACTGTGAGGTACCCTACTGGGCAGAGTCCTTCTACTAATTAATTCACTCATTCTGTTCATAGAGATTTGTGAATATCTACTATGTACTARATACTATGATAAGCACTTAGGATGTAAAATCAGATAAATTATGGTCCCTGCCCTCAAACAGGTCATATGCTAGAAAAATTGTTTTGATAATACTTCGGGTTATTGATTACAGAAATAGCTAGAAAATATTCTCCTGATATCCTGCAACTTTTCTAGGTATCTTTCTACTAGTGCCCATGCTGCAGGTTAGGCAATGGCCAGAATTTGATTAGGCCTGCTACAAAATAAAAGAGGAAATTCTGGCCTCATTTAGTGGTTTTCAACTTTTAGCCATAAAGTATGATATTCATAAAGTACAATGTATTTATTTGAAAAACAARTTCTTTTAAAAAATAGTCATGTTTTGCTAACTCTTATTTGGGGGGAAAAGTATCAAAGAAAATGTCTATTAGAAAAGATCAGAAATAGTACATTTTGGCAATCCTTGTAATATACCTCATTGATACATGTAACTAACCTTAAAGAAGTTAAAAGGTGATATAAATTCTTTAAAGGAAATATACTGGGAGGGACAGTGGGAAAAGAAGTAGAGGAAAGAATGTCTTTAAAAGAATAATAGAGAACTGATTGTCTCTTCTTTGCCATCGTGTTCTGAATATCATTTAAAGGAATCTCTCTGGAGTAGGTTAACTGAACTTTGCAGTAATACAAAATAATTTGGGAGTGAACAGTCTTTGTACCTAAACTGTTTTAAAAAGCCCTCATTGGTACATTAGATAAATTCAGGTTGAACAACTGAGATGTCTTAACCTTATTGTAACACCACCTCATTTACTTAATATATTAACCATTTTCTAAATCTTATGAAATTTGAATTTTCTTTTTTTCCTATTCTGTCATCTCAAACTAATGTCTACATATTTCCAACAACTATAACTATTTATTTTTTACATATGTGTATTTATATTAAATGGGACATAATATTTCAAAATCAATTGACTAGTTGTTGAGCATCTCTTCTAAACCTGGTACTGTGCTAGAAATAACTCCAAGTACATATCATGCAAAACAAGAGAGTAAGACCAGTCTATTTTAAAGTCTCTTCTTATTTGAAAAATCTAAATTTGTGAAGGCAAAACATGTAAAGAAATGTAGCAAAGAAGTCAAAGATAGTTTCATAAGAAGGTATTTAAAGGATGGTTAAGTATTTTTTAGAAATCATAAGGGGAAAGGAATCTATGCCAAGAGAAGGAAACAGAATGAGCCAAGGCACAGGTGTATTTATCAGACCATTAAAAAAGGGCATCTACTGGGGAATATTTGGGTAATAAGACTGGAAATTTAGTATGAGGGACAGATTGTGTGAGAGACTGAAAAAGCCAGGCAGAGGAATTTAAACTTTATAAGGTAGGAAATAGGGAACCATTGAAAGTTTCAGAGAAATGGAATAACATGGTTAAAACTATTGAGGGAGAAAGAGTGCATTAAAGAAAGTAATATGTAYTGTCATTTAAGTAATATTGTAATTTAAATAACATTGAGAATATGTGTCATTCTTTCTAGGAATAAGGTACACAGGGTGAACAAAACAGTTTTGTCTCAAGGATTATAGTGTTAGAGACAGACAAGTATGTGGTTAAAATAGAGTGCCATTACAACCACAGTGGGGTAGTGAGGAAAAATTGGTTAGAATATTTAATCCTATCAGAGAAAGCATGCTGGAGAAGATGCTACTTAAGGAGAGACCTGAAGGATGAATAGAAGTCAAGRAGGCAGAAAACTATATGGGCACAGGCCTAGAAGCAAGAATGAATTTTTGAAGAATCTGCATGCAGTTCCTCATGGCTAGAGTGGGGCATGCAGAGATGTGGGGAAAGGGAGAGCAGGGACAAGAGTGGACAAGTAAGAGGGATCAAATCTTGTAGGGATTTGATGGCTGAGATTGGTATTGGATACTAT